TCAACAACAACAGCGGTGGGCCGCTACGCTACGCTACGCTTTTGGCCCAAACAGCGTAGCGTAGCGGTGCTTTTTTTGCGCCAAAAATTCGTAGTGTTAGCGCTTTTGTAGCGCATTTTCGCTACGCTACGCTGCGCTACAGCGCTTTTAGCGGAAAAAGCGGCTAAAAACCGCTAAAAACCGCTGTAGCGCAGCGTAGTGGGCCCTTTTTTGCGGCCCACACGCGTAGCGTTAGCGGTGTCGTGGCGGAATTCCGCTACGCTACGCTTAACGCTAACGGGAATTCCGCTACGTTACGCTACACTAACCGCTACGGTTAGTGTAGCGGCCCACCGTTGACAACAACATTATCATCAACAATCACCATAAACACCTTTAACCGTTATACGAATCATTCGACAGCTTCATCTCGAACTATCCTCTATCACGATATATAAACTGCCAAGCTGAGCTTGGTGGTCTTGTTGTTCTGATAGCATAGAAGGGCAGAGCTTGCAACTCCACCATCCCCTTCTCCATTCAGCAAAAGGGTTTCACAACCACTTTTGAGTCTTACAAGGGAGTCCCCAACGTGATAGGATAAACTTTTGAGTGGCATCGTATAATCAATTTCAATCGAAAACGAGAAGATAATCAAGAAGACATCGGCAGAGGATCGTTACTTTAGCGGTAAACGGAACGAATTCATCAAACAAATTTGCGACTACTCCACGGCATATTCAGTTATTCTGTTGATCAACTAGTCAAACTTCAATAAACAATTCAACGACACAAACAACGAACCTCTGAAAAGAAAGTGAACCCATCGACTGAAACGAGTATCTTGAAGAAGGCAGCCAGTTATTGACCAGCAGAAGGAAGACCACCGAAGGATCTGGATAACTAGGATACTGTTTGAAGAGAACTCTGGAACTATTCGAAGAAAGCAGCTGCTTATTGACCAAAAGAAGGAAGACCACCGAAGGATTTGGATAAGTAGATTCTGTGAAAGAAGAAATTCCCAGTGTTAACTGATCTATTATTTTTAAAGAAGACTATAAGCTTGCCCTGGTAAAGAAACCAGTGACCATAGTATTATTTGTTTCTTTTTCAGAGCAACCATTTGTTTAGGTATCGAAGGAGCGTCAAGTAAGGAAAACTAGGAAAATCAATCAAAATCAACATGAGTCTACCGTTCAGTACACCAGATTTGGAAGATGGATTTGCACCATCAACCCCTTTTAGGAACCGATTTTACGGCCGACCTTCAGGATCATCTTCAGCTTTCAATTGGAATCCGGAACTACAATGCAACTTGAAGACCAAAAAGCCAATGACCAACTCAAATCCTTGTGGAACCTAGCCTCTTTTATGATGTAAATCATTTTATGATGTTTCAAAAGCGATCTCTTGGAAAATTTTTGTGGATTAAAAGAATCAACGATGACGTGCCAAACAGCTGGATTGATTGATGTGGAAGAATGAACAATGGAACCAATGACGATGTTCGTGATTGAACAATTGGTGTGAATCGATGATGGAAATGAAGAACGCACCCATAACACTAGATGTATACAAGGAATGCAAATGGGATTAACTCTGGCGGATGAAGATCAAAACCTATATAATTAGTTGTACATATAAACAAACAAGAAGACACTCCAATTGGAAGAAGAAGTCTGAAGAACCTTGGATTTGGACAACTCACAATCTGGACTAAACAAGAAGAAACCTCAAGAAATTTGGACCTTGAAAGCAAATAATCAACCTCAGGGAAAAATATATTGAAGGAGTATCAAATAATTCTTGAAATGTCTCTTAATTATTTTGAAAAGTTGGGGTAGGAGCTCACATTCCTTTAAAATTCACTCATTTAAACCCTTCCTCACTCCCCTAGTTCTGATATCCCCTTAATTAATCAGTAGAATGCTTGCTTAAAGTCTAAAAATTAAGAACATAAATCAGTTAGCTAAATAATCAACTTACAGAAGATAACAGAATAAAACACTTCCAGTAGATAAAACGTTTTGAGGTTGGGGGGAAAAGTTTATATTCTACTCACATTCACACTAAACCATTGGATTATCCTTTATTTTCTCATAAAAAAACACCATGACATATTTTTTTAGTTTATATCCTTGGGGTTGCTGTTAAAATTCATTTATTCACTCTAACTATTACTCTCTGGATTGAATTTTTTCCTCTTGAATCCCTATTTCAGTCTCTTAATTTTTTGTATAAAACTCACATTCTGGATTGGATTTATCTATCAGTTTTCTTATTACTTCTAAGTTTCTTCTGGATTGAATATTCTGTTATATTTTCTTTATTATCTCAAACTCTTACTCTCTGGATTGAATATTCTGTTATATTTTCTTTATTATCTCAAACTCTTACTCTGTGGATTGAATTTTTTCCTCTTGAATCCCTGGTTCAGTCTCTTAATTTATTGTATAAAATTCACACTCTGGATTGGATTTCTCTTTTAGTTTCTCTATTATCTCAAACTATTATCTGGATTGGATTTCTCTTTAGTTTCTCTATTATCTCAAACTCTTATCTGGATTGGATTTCTCTTTTAA